CAGTGCCACGTGGGCAGCACAGAGAGAGTGAGAGGTGTGGAATGGTGCCACGTGGCCAGCACAGAGAGAGACAGACAGACAGACAGACAGACAGGGCGCGCAATAGTAGCATGCGTGCAAACCGGGAAGAGACAAAGAGGGAGAAGGCACATGGATTGTAACCTGTGGTGCCACGTCTGTAGAGCAACATGCTAGGCATGGAGTGAGGAGGAAGCAGCGGGGCGGTAGGCTGTCATCGACATTAATGGGCCCACATGGAGGGAGGTGGAGGTCATCATAGGCCTGCAATAATCTTGTTTGATTATGTGTTTAATTTTGGAACGCACATCCTAAGATTTTGTACGACATTCAACACATGTTTAACAAGGCTTGAACGTGGTGGAAAAGGCCTGCCAGGGTCCGGAGGGGGGCGGGGAGGTAGGCAGGCTGGTGGATCTCGGTGGGATCTGATGTGCATGGCAAGGAGGGGGATGGAGACATTGGAGAGTGAGCTCGGGCCTGGTAGGGCAGACGGTCATAACGGGGTTGCAAACAGGACCCGGGTCGCAGTGCACATTTTGCAGGCACGAGTAGCCAGGGATCCAATTCCGATACACCTTCCATTTAGACGGGGTTCCTGCCGGTGACTGTGACCATGCGCTTGTGGACATGCAGTGCAGAAGGGTTGTGTGTGAGACAATCTTAGTATTGCATGCTATTGTCGTACGAGTTCTCCAAGTATTAGACAAGATGTTGGCTACTCAGTTGATGTGAATGCGGAGGCATGAGCAATTGCAGAGTCTGCAGGAAACTCCGCCTTGATATAGCGGAAGAGTCAGGGATGCACGGCTAGTCACGTTGATGACGAGGGTAGAGGAATGGCCCTTTGTGTGGCAAGACCTGTCTGGGGCGAGGCGAGTCGTTGACGAGGGCAACGATGAGTTGTCTGGCAGGTTGAGTGCTTCTTTGGGTGGTGAGGGGTGCTGTGCGTGCTCAGGCACAGAGAGCTGCTAAGGACACAGCTGCAGTTTTAGGAAAGCAAAGGAGAGGGGGGAAACTGTTCTAACCAAAGGGGTGGGCACGGCGCAGAAATAGTATACAATTGATCTGTTGTACGGGAGGCAGGGGTGCGATGAATTACAAGAAACACTTCTTTGCACTTCAACGTCTTCGGTGGTGGGTGTATCACTCAGAACCTGGCCTTTAAAAAGACCAGGAGCATATCAGCTGCTCAAAGTTGATGACGATTGCAACCACCTTGGTTGTTCCACACCGTAGATCTTTAAGATTCGGTGGAAGGGGTTGC